TCTAAATTTTCCGAAAATTCAAACTATGGTATAAACTTACTCGTTTTTTCCTGGGACCTCAAACTTGGCCTCTTTAGTATTTTCGATGCGCTCTTTCCATTTCTGGCATTCTTTAAGTTATAGCCCATAATACAAAAATTTTTAGGAAAAATTTGGTCACGTGACCCCAGCTGCAAAGGGCCCATTGTAGGATCTTGTAGAGAAGTGGCCGTTACGGAGAGGTGCCCGTTAGTGGTGGTTCGACTGTGCTCAGAGATTTTAAATTAATAAGCTAAATATGAGAGAACCCCTCAAAAATGGCAGGGCCACAAAGTTATTAGCAAATTTTACAGACAGAGGAACAAGTTGTTATTCCGCGATAACTACAGACAATGGAGTAGGATTAAATAAGGCTTCATCTTTAGCTTAGGCATGCGCTTTCGGTTTTATGGCACAAGCAACACATCAATTTTGTTGAATGGTAACTCACAAACTGGATTCCAAGCATCAAGTTTTACTTTAACTACGATAGAATCCGAATTTTTCCAACCTCCAACAAGTCCAAGGGAAACGACCGTTGGTATGGGGGGAGGGGGTGGATAGTTCAAAAATCGGGGATAAAATCACAATGTTCGACTGATAGGAGAGAAACGGCTTTTGGTTCAAATTACGTTGAATGCGCTAGGTGTGGGCTTTTTCTGCATTCTGGCCGCGCGCAAATTGGAGCGAGAGCAAAAACATCGACAAAGCAGGGGGTGGTGGCGCCACCACCCCCTGATTCGTCGACTTTTTTGCTCTCGCTCAAATTTACACGCGGCCGGTATGCAGGAAACGTTCTTCGTACGGAAATGCTTGCTACGCGGGTTAATCGTACCTATGCCACGGCTCTATCCTAATCCGTATATTCTTTTGATCCGATTCAAAGTCCTAACCACATACCAGTCARTCTTTCAGCCAAGTTTTGAAGTCCTATATTTGCCAATGCCGTTGCTAACTTTTCACAAGTTCCTTGTTCTCCCTCTGTCTCCATCCACTTTACCAAAAGGGCGATGCAACATTCCTTGTTGGAGTCTTTTTCACTCTTAATGGCATCAATAAATGCCTCTTTGAAACCAAGCTTTCGAGCCAAATCTTTCCACCTTGTTCCAATATCATCGGGAAGATAACGACTATGAATGTCAGCTTCAGTGAGTCGATAAAGAGGTTGCAAAGCCTCAAAACTGGGATATCCTGAAAAAAAAGCACATTCTTGTAAAGCAATTGAAGACTTTGAAGGCGGGTCATCAGAATTCAGCTAGAGGTAACAGGGTTGAGTTATTTTTATACTTTTAACTCTAGCCTAAACATAAAACCAGCGACAAAATTGAGCGAGAAAAAACAGTATTTGGAAATTATCCGATCCCGCACCGGAAGCTTACGACGGTAAGGTTTACGACGATTTCTTTAGTTCAGAACAGGCAACATAGCGCCGTTCGACCATGGCCAAAAAGGACATACCTACATAAGATTAGCCTGCCCCAGGCGTTCGGTTCTTTGGGTGGTAGTGCGAAAAGAAGTGAAGAAACAGAAAACAAAACAAAAGGAGCAACAAACAAAGACCAAAAAAGGAAACGGAAGGAACGAAGAAAAAGAAGAAGTTAAGTCCGAGAGACAGCTTCCTCGCCCCGAGCCCCGAGCTTAGCCATCCTTCTGCCTAAAACCGTTTTCTGTGCTGCGATCCAGCTATCCGAAGTTAGCGGGCGCCATATTAAACAAACTAGATTAGATTGACGTTTGTTTATCTCTTATTTGATGCGAGGTTACCCTTAACTTTTCTTTATCGGCAAGCAATAAAAGATTGGTGTTATGCAGATGGTTTGACGTGACGCGCGATTTGGCAAAAAATGAAGCTGTTTTTAGCGGCCAGTAAATTGAGCAACTTTTCTTTTGAAAGATTAATTTAGCTGTTTTCTAGTGTCGATTTCGCAGCAAAGTAGAAGGATATTTTTTTGTGAACTAATTAAGTATTTAAAAACGCCGGTCATGCAAGTAATTATGTTCACTAGGGCTTTTAGCCAGATAAGTGTCCAGGCGTCCTGTGGACGGACACTTTCTAAAGAAAATTGATTTATTTTTCATATGTTGCCCCGTTAATTGCTTTTTTGAGCAAGCCCTATAGCACATTTTGGTCGGCCACCTTTCAAATTTTGGCTAAAAGCCTGTGTCTACTGATGCGTGCGTACAGATCAAAACAACATTGGATACATTTGGCATTCAAGTTTCAAGCCAAGGTACGTAAATCTAAAAAATTAACCTCACGACCCCGTCTTAAGTTATAAAGCTATTGACGCTTCTGTTGATCAAGTGTCCGTATCGTTAACTGTATCGAGAACTGGAATACGCATTTCCATGCAAAAGACTCGAAAAGAATGCC